AATGATGAATCGTGGCACACTTGCGTGAGCAAAAACCCTAGTATAAAGGCTAAACTTTCTCCAAAGAATATGCATTCTGAGTTTTGACAAAATAGAAGTTTTTATAGAGTCTTAAGAAGCCTAGCTATTAACTTTTCACAATTGAAGCTCAATTATCTTCTTATAAGATTCATGTATTGTTTCTTAAACTTTTTTTTAATGTTTAACTGTATAATGAATAGCTAAACACCCCCTTTTTAAGAGATGAATATTTGATTTAAGGAATAACATTGTACCATCAAACATAATTTATAGTTTAACATATTGTTCTTATATTATTTATCTAATATTTATGCATAATAATTTTATTGATTAATAAATGATAAATCATTTTATGTTTTACTTTGTGAAACAGGAGCGAAATTAGTAAATACTTAAAATTAGGTATTATAGCTTACCATCACTCAGGAATATGGATGAATCCTTGAAACTCATATATTTCAGTTAAATCTAAATGTTTAACCTTAAATTATAACTTGTCAAGGTATTGATGAATCCATTTGAGTTAAAGGTTTAATTACTAAGGGAGTAAGATTAAATAATCTTGGAAATACGTAATCACATATGATAATAACTTTAATTAGAAAGATAAAATAAGAAGTGCAAGGGAAAACCTAAGCCGGACTCACCCTTGTCATCTTTCTAATTGGTAATCTTACGAATCCTAGTTTTTATAATTAAAACTCTCAAGGCTACCAAGAAACCTTTATGTTTAACTTGTTCAATGATAAATTTAATACTACTTTTAGTCTTTGTGTTTGAGGTTTAGTGATACTCATCATGATATTACTTGCAATGATTTGGTACATTTTCTAGATTGTCATTAGGTGTCATATCCCAGTATTGTCTTGGCCCCAAGTGTAGCCATCATACTCGAATATATTTTAGTAAACTTTCATGATGGTTGTGTATGTTGAGGTGTTGACTGACATATATAAGTGTTTACTAGGAATAACAGAGTTTACCATGGTCTTTTGTCTGAAAATGATTCGAGAGATGTTGTTTCAACTAGTGTATTCCTTGCTGATCATTACCAGTTATGACAATATCATCTACATACACAATAAGGTAAATACACCCTTGGGATGATTGACGATAAAACACATAATGACCAGCTTCACTTCGGACCTATTTACCGTTAAGTTTGGTGAACAAGCATTAGTCTTCTAAATGTAATGTTTTGGTTACTCACATGATCGACTAGATTGGTCATAGGACATATGTGCATGGAATTTCTTAAACTTTCTTGATAATAGTTACTTCGATGGAAATTGGAATTTTAAAACTAATGCCGAAATGATTGATAAGCAATGCATAAAAGTAAATGGACTTCGACAGGAAATGTAAAGGAATGAAAATAATGTTGAAATAAGTAACTTGATGTTGAATAAAAATGAAATGATCCATACGTACATTTCTCAGACAACACTTTTCTTAATAATGGTTAGATACTTTGAGAATTTGTGAATTTTAGTACAATGTGAATGCAAAATTCTAATGCTAAGATTCTTATTTATACTACTTTGATAGTAATGGTAGCAAATGGTCTTTTCTCCAAAAAATGACACGTTCTCGCTTGCATGTGCCTTGCCCTTCATAGGCTTCCATGTATCCCATTTCAAAGAACGGATAAGGACAAAATTCAGTTATTAACCTAATTTCAAAATCTTCTTGTCAAACTTCACTTCAAATCTTTTCCAAAAATTCTAAGCCCCATTGTTGCACCTTTTCGCCACTTTGAAGCTTCTTTGCCAGGCTTCGGTCGAAATACTATCCAACTTCTTTGTCAAATGAAACTTGTTTGCTTTAAATATTCTCATCAACAGTTCTCTTGAATTTTCTTGTTCCTTTTGAGCGTCGAATTTAAAGCTAACAAGACCATACCAAATTGTTGTACTACAATTCCAAAAATCCGAGGGCACTTCGAGAACTGTGACCCAAAACTGAGTTTACTGGCGAAAGTGACATCGTGACAGAGTTGGGATGCGATGCCACACGTGGTGAAAACAAAATTGTGTGAGGCCCATGTGTGGCTGAAGAAGTGGCACATATAGGCGTGTTCGACAATAATTTGTGACGGTCTTCTGGTGTTAGGCCGAATTGAAATAGATGGTTCTTTCTGCGGGGGTGGTGTATCGAAAAGTTGTCGGAATTAGTGGTGGTGGTGGAGGCATCCAGTGGTGACCGGATATTTTTTAAAACAGATGCAGGAAAGTTTCATGGTAGAGGGTGAAAGGCAAACAGGAGTGATGACACAGTTTGCCAAAAAAAATTCTCATCAGAAGATAATGGGTCAACTGGGTTAAAGTACGGTGAATGTTGTCTCTTAGCAAACTCTAGATACTATGTTGAGATGAGAGAGACTAAGAGACATTTAGATTAAATCGTGTGACTGAATAGCACTACGAGAGATGCAATATATAATACAATATACAACTCATCATATTAATTACATAAGAAATATAGTTAAGTAAATCTTATTCTATTCTATGTATATCTATATATATATATATATATATATATATATATATATGTATATATATGTATATATATGTATATATATATCTATATATACATATATATATATATATATATGTATATATATATCTATGTATATGTATATATATATATACATATATATATATATACATATATATATATATACATATATATATATATACATATATATATATACATATATATATATATACATATATATATATATACATATATATATATATATATATATATATATATATATATATATATATATATATATATATATATATATATATATATATATATATATATATATATATATATATATATATATATATATATATATATATATATATATATATATATATATATATATATATATATATATATATATATATATATATATATATATATATATATATATTGTGTGTGTGTTAAACTCTAAAGTTAAGTTTATAACCTTTGGAAAGAGACACCATTCTATCCATCCACTCAAGATAAGACTTCATTTAAATATGCATATTCGTGGATTTCAATTGTAAATATACTTTGATAATATTGACTATGAGGTTCAGATCCAATAATTGTTGTTCATGAGGTTTGGTTATAGATAAATGATGCCACACATTTTTATGAGAACGGGTGGAAACCTTGTTGATATTGAGTCTTGGTAAGTATTCTCCCATCGCTTTACTTAGTTTATCTCAACATTGTTTTTTGTGGAACCTCAAGGTACAATTGGTGCATTATATTGGTCAAGTGGATTATTTTCCATGTTTGTTGACCAACATAATCACCATATGGTCTTGGTAAGGTTAGACCCGTCGAGGTTGGAGTTGGTACATAAAGTCCTTATAATTATTGTCTAATTTGTGAACCCAAATGGATCATGGCCACATTGTTGCTGATTCAAATAACCAACAACTAAAATTATTGATTATACTATTGGACCAAAGACTTATCCTCCATCATATGACATGTAGCTCTCTTGTAAAATGTCGGGTAGTGTCGTAGCCATATGTACCTGTCCAAATTAAATATTAGTTTCATCAAACATATCGCTCTCCAATAGTTTCTCCTATGGTTAATAGTGAAAAAAGTATTAGTTTAGGATTTTAGAATGAAAGGTAATTGTTGTATAGGATTCAACTGAATATTTTGAGGTTATGCTTTTGTAATGATAATTTTGGCTATGGATCTTAACCCATACTTGACCTCAATTCCCTTTGATTCTTTGATGTTGGGGGTGATAGAGTTTTTGTCCGAATTGGATCGTTTAACCTTTAACTCTCTAGCTTATCGAATCTCATTATTAAATATGGGTTTAATAATGTTGGTATATTGTTCAAAGACCTGGTATATGAAGTCATGTATCTCTATGTAAATTTGTTGTATTATAAAGGACATGGTTATAACTAGTTATTGTTCAGGTAGATGAACCAGAACATTTCTAGAATCAATAAGAGAAGGCGTTAATGTTGGTATTCCTAGAATTTGTAAAGGATCAGTAAGTCTATCAGAGACTGACCTCTTTAATATTAAAGTTGATGGTTGGCCCATGTTGATAAGACATCTATCATAATTCGAGTGTATATGCTAAACATAGTCGTGGCCTAGAAAACTCAACCATTTGATGGTATTAGTGGTATTGTTGTACATGACATGCAAAATTTATTGTCAAACTTTTTAAAGTTAGTCGAGTATTCAACAAATGGCTCTTAGGTTCTCTTTATGCTTTAAACAACTACGCTAATAAATAAATTATTTTCTTCAACTATAAGTTTTTCAACTCCATCAAGTAGTGTTACGTACAAAACTAGATTTTTATAAGAAATTAAACTAAAAATGCTCATTTAAATTGAAAAAAAAAAGAAGAAGAGATAATTGTGAAAATAATCTTGATTTGTTGATTACGTGTTGAATGAAATATCAAATACAATATTTATAAACTAAAAATTTAACTATTTAGGTTTCATATTTGAATCTCCCTATTTATATATAATTTTAGTGTTAGATTAGTCCATACATAAATATACTTTATTTTTAAACAAAAATTACCATTCAAATAGACGATGAGATTGATCATCTTAAATTAAATTAGTTGATTTCATTATTGGATATCAAAGTTTTTTTTATCAAAAAAACAAAAATTTACTCTCTTAAAAAAGAAAAGAGAAAAGTAAAATATTGTTAAGTTATAGTTGACCATAAAGCACGTAATAAATAGTAGTAGTTCACTTTAGGCGCCACCCAATAATTGAGTTAAACCAAAATTTGCAAACTTTTCTAAACTAAGTCCTAAAGCAACCACATTTTGCAGCACACATTAGCACAAAACAAGGTCAACAACCGACACACATAACCCACCTCCAAAAAGTGTTGTGTTCTTCTATCCTATCTTCTCTTACACCATCTATCTACTCTCCAGTCTCCACAACACTCAACTCAACATCCAGGTTCTGATGACAGAAATCACAAGTCTAAGCTTAGACCTCATAGAGTCAATCCTGTGTTACCTCCCAATTCCAACTCTGATCCAAGCTTCAACAGTTTGCAAACTATGGCACACAATAATCTCATCATCTTCCTTTTCTTCACACCACAAACACCGACACAAACCATGGTTCTTCCTCCATGGTATCCACAACATCTCTTCCAAAAACAATCAATCTTTTGCCTTTGACCCTTCTTCCAACTCTTGGTTCCTTCTTCCAACGCCTCAACAGCCTCTTCACTATCCCAACAACACTTCCTTCATTGGTACTTCCTCTTTCTTCTTCATCACGGCTCCTAACTTTGTTTACACTCCTATTCTTCATCCTCTTGTTTGGTTTTCTACTCCACCTCTTCATTTCCCTAGAATCAATCCTCTTTTGGGTGTTTTCAATGATGGATCTTATGTTAAGTTTATTGTTGTTGGTGGTGTTAGGTTCATTGGTAATCTTGTTGATATAGAGGATCGTTTGGATGTTGAAATCTATGACCCTCTTTTGGGTTCTTGGGATTTAGCTCCTCCTCTTCCTGCTGATTTCAGATCTGGAAACTCTTCATCTTCACTCTCCTCAGCTTTGTTCCAAGGGAAGTTCTATGTTTTTGGGATATATTCATGTTTTGTTTCTTCCTTTGATTTGAAACTTGGTGTTTGGAGTGATGTTAGGGTTGTTAGGCCTTCTGGGGTTGTGTTTTCTTTCTTGATTTCTTGTAGGGAAAGTCTTGTTTTGGCTGGGGTTTGTAATTCCTCAAGTGGGTCTAGCTTCACTTTGTGGGAGGTTGATGAGATGAGTATGGAGATTTGTGAGATTTCTGTCATGCCTCATGATTTGCTTTGTGGTTTGTTTGATGGTGATGAGGATGATAGATTTGCTAGCTTGAAGTGTGTTGGATTGGGTGATCTTATATATGTTTTCAATGAGGATTATCATAGGATGTACCCGGCTTGTGTTTGCGAGATTCGCCGGGGTCGTGGCGGGGAGAAGAGTGAGTGTTATTGGAGGAGAGTGCCTCAATTGCCATCACTGATGAATAGGTTTCACAAAGTTGTTAGCTTTTGTTCAGGTGTTTCATTGTATAGCATTCTGGGTGAAGGTCAACACCATGGACTTCATTGAGCTTTCCGCGGCTCTGCGAGGTATCCACTCAACACTGAATTTTGTTGTAATCTGTTGTGAATGTGATTGTGTATGTATAAATTGCTATCACAATTATGTTATGTTTTGAATGTGTGATTGTGTATGTATAAATTGCTATCACCCTTTATCAAATTGCTATCACAATGGTTTTTTTGATTCAATTCAACAGCAAAAACAAAGGAAATAATCAGTGCCAAAAGAAGGTTCGGTTAGAAGAATGATTTGCACGCTGAAGAAGTTAATACATAGGCGCTGCTGCTGCAGCACAACTGCACCTAAGGCATATGCATCATTCATAATAAGATAAGAGTAGCTCTAATAAATACTGTGTAATAATTTGATAACTATAGAATTTTATGAATTTGATAACTATATAATTTGATAACTATAGAATTTCCATCATGTCCTATTATTAACCATTGGATCTATTCTTCTCTCTTTTGTACTATTAATTTTTTGTTAGTGTGATAATCCACTATTAAATTGGAAAAGAAGAGAAGGCTGAATCAAATGTATTGTTTAGCTATCATAAAGCATGGATCAATCCTTGACTTTCTCTTCCTTTTTATCCATTTGATATTGGCAATTGTGTGGTATTTAATAGTTTCAAATGTAAATATAGTGGACCACATTAATGTGGATTATTCAATGGACCAGTTAGCCCTTGAACGGGTTAAAGTTGAATTTTTAACGGAGTTTTTTTTTTTCTTTCAACGCGCTGTTATTAAATATTTTTAATGGGTTAGAAATAAAAAAAAAATGTAGTTACATAAAAATATGAGTCATACTATCATGTGCACTGGCGGAGCCAGCGTCCGGCCAGCTAGGGCAGCTGCCCAGGCTCGGCCGCCTCGAATCACTTTCATGAAACTATGATGGATGAAGTTACGGTGCTGAGAAGTTTGGCCGGCGAAAGGGTGTTGGTATGGCGGTTGTGTGGGTGGTGGATTTGTTGAGCGTCTGATCATTGTTGTAAAGGGGGTGCCGGCGTAAAAGAGGTTCGTGAGAGGTTCTCACGAAGAAGGAACTTCAATACAATATGGTGAGATCCAGAAAGATAGTGAAGTGAGACTAAAGATAATCGGGACTCGAGTGGACGCTACTGAAATCGTAAGCATGCATATATTGTATCTTTTACTTTGCTTATATGTAAGCATGCATATATTGTATCTTTTACTTTTCATATATGATAAACAAGTTGTATGTTTCTGTTTGTGATCCAAATGTTGTGTTGTTTTATGTTTTAGATGGTGTTTTCATGTTTACACATTCCAAAACAAGTTAAAAATTTCTGCTTCTTTGAATCAGTTACTCCTGTGTATGACATATTGCTTTTTGTAACAGTTGCTGGTATAGCATGAAATTATACTTATTTGAATCACTTACTCATGCTTATGAAGTATTGTTTTTTGTGGCTGTTGATGGTATAGCATGAAATTGCACCTTGCCTGCAAAGTGTTTGATGAAAGTTCTAAATCAATCTCTTTCTTATTTTTTCTGTTTCAGATTTGTTGTTGTTGATATTTTACATGTTCTTTCAAATGTGATGTCATGGATTTTCCATCAAAATTTTATGGTGCATTTTTGATGATTTTGGAAGGAATAAGCTGGAAATATAACTGATTTCTAAATATCCTTAACAAGCATTTTAAGTTATTACCCAAATGATGTTATTTAACAGCTAATTTTCTACTTGAACTACAACCTCAAAATCCATAGCACTATGTATTGTTACCTTATATTTACGCAAAAGCTGGTAACTTTGAGAAAGTGGCAGAGTTTAGAGATATGATGATGCAGAAGAAGCTGAAAAAAGTTCCAGGATGGACATGGATTGAAGTGGATAACAAAAGCTATCAGTTTAGTGTCGGGGATAGATCACATCCTCGATAGGTCTATGAAACATTGATGAGTGTAATTAAGAAGTTGGAGACTGCTGGTTATGTACCTGATACAGAGTTTGTGTTGCAAGATGTTGAAGAGGAAGTTAAGAAAGAAATGTTGTATACACATAGTGAAAAGCTTGCAATTGCATTTGGTTTAATCACCATCTCAATATGTGATGCCATTAGGATCTCTAAAAATCTTAGGATCGTGAAACAGGCAGGTTCCGAGGTTTTGGCTTCATAACTTTTACAACAAGTGAGGATGCATCTGCTGCTCTTCAGGCCATGGATGGCCAGGTATAATCGGTTTTTGTGATAATTCATCTTGCTAAATTCTAAAATTTACCAATTTAGATGGTTAGCATGACTTAGAGCCTCATTTATGAAGAAATTAGAGTTTTCACCGTTTTATATTAAATATGAATGTTATGAAATAGTGAAATACCTTATGTTCAGACCTGGAGGAAGTAATTGCAGTTAACATGAGTACTGTCTTGGTAGAAAATTATGAAGTCAATGAAAACTTGGTCAGGCTTCATAATTTTTCTGGCTCCGCCACTGATCATGTGTCTCAAGGATAATATGTGTCTTAAAGACGACATGTTCTCTATGTGTCCGAATGATACATGTTAAAGATATTATAATTAAAAAATTTAAATATAATAAAATCATATTTAAAATTTCATTGAATGTAAGTGTTTTAAGATAATATTTCTATTTATTTTGGAAAAATTATTGTAATTTTTTAAATCGTAAAACAATTCCCCTAAAACACAAATAATCTCATTAAATTTAATATTTCACGTCTAATTAAGTTATATTTTTATTTCTTTGCCCTTTTATTCCTTTTTCATTAAAAATTTTATGACTATGTTAAATATAATTACCATTAATATCCCAAGGGATCCCAAGTTATTGACAGGCCTATTAACTAAATACTTTTATGTAGTAAAATAATATTTTTTCATTTCTAAAATAAAATAAAAGTAAAATTGCGATATTGAATTATTTCGGATATGCATATTTGAAAATGCTTAAAGATGAAATATTGGACTATTTCGAATAGACATATCCAAAATAATCCAATAAAAATAAAATATTGAATGTGTTCGAATATGCACATTCGAATAGTCTTTTTGAATTTTTAAGAATCTAACTCAACATTATTAGATGGAAAAAAAAAATCTCTTTTAATTACATTTTGATGGTGATTGTCTCAAATGGTATTTAGAGGATATTCAAATTCAAATCAATTCACCTGAAAATCATAAATTCATTTAAAAAAATTGAATAGTATTAGATGTGTTTGATTTCTCTTTTATAAAATGTTTATATTAGATTAGATTTTGAATTAATTTTTTTAAATCGATTAAAATCGATCTATGCATATATTTTAATACATATTTCTTATTAGTATAATATATTATGTTAATTTTATTTTTAATAATTCACTTGTTTCAAGCATAATTGAAATTGATCTCTTTTTATAATTTTAATTTTTAATATATTACTATGTTATATATAACTTCAAACCTATTATTTTATAACATTTTTTCATTATAAAAATTATAATTTATCATTTGGATATTTAAAAATTAATTTAAAATTAAATCTTATGAAATTAGATTGGATCGAATCAGATTTTTTAACTAATATTTAGAGTTTTTTTTTTAAATGAGGATTCCATATGTAAAAGAAAAATGAAACAAAAAGATAGGGGGGACATCTACCAAGATCCTATCAAAAAGAAATGAATCTAAAAGAAAGGCAAACCTAACATATGCTTTATAAAACTTTCTCTTAAACAATCAGGGATGAAATCAAAATAAGAATAATCAGTCACATTAAGACTTGTGTTAGCAAGAATATCTGCACAACTATCTCCTTCTCTAAATATGCAAGAGACTACAAAATTGAATGAATTTTTTTCTCATGATCAATTCAAATATAATGACAAATACCTAACATCTCTACAACTATCTTTAATTTGAATGAATTTTTTTTCTCACGATCAATCCAAATAGCACGACAAATACTTAACTTAGTGCCTAATTCTAAAAAAAAGGCATCTGAATGTGACTTTTAAACTGGATAAGAATTAACTGCCCTTATGGTATCAAAAGTATGAGAACTTTAGTTGATTTTAGCCATCTTAATAAAAGAGAAATTATATATAATATGAAAAATTAGATGAGAGAGAATCTTATGTAGAGATGGAAAGACTCAAAGGCAACATAACTTTGGCGCCACAAAGGCAGACAATTCTTGCCCCTTTTAAACACACACAAACACACACACACACATGCGCGATATCAAATGATCTTGCATAGGATATTTTATCCGACATGTTGCTCCAGATGATGAGAACGTCTCATCTCAACATGTCTCAATATAAAATAGGACTTCTTGCTCATCATGTTCTTCTTATAAAGTTAATACATCTTATTTAACATGTTGCTGCTATATTATTTTTACCAAACATAGTGCCAACCATAAAAACAGAGAACTAACAATCTCCCCCTTTGACTTATTTTGGCTAAAATTAATTTACATAACATTTGCACACATAACTTAGAACATACATCAAAGGCAAAGCAATACAAAATAGAAACAACCATAAAATGGAAACATCAGAGTCAATCTTCACATCTTTGACAGTCTTCAGTCTTTACTGTCTTCACTCGTGATGTCACAACATCTTGTCAGGACTTCTTCATGGCATTTCTACACATACTCACCAACCAATAGGATATCTTCATGATTGTCCTATACATACCAATCAATAGGACATCTTCATGACTGTCCAACACATATTCTATCTCCCTTTTTAGCCAGAATATGACAAAGGCATCAAGGAGAAGTAATATACTCAGTCTGATTGATGTCAAAACATTATATCCAACATCTCTTCACAATAACCCGAACCAATCCATTATATCCCCCTCAAGATGATTTAAGAAGAAATTCATGAAGACATTTGGTGTACACTCCCCCTCAAACTAAGAACACATCTTCAGACGTGATGTTTCACAAAACTTTTCTCGTGTTCTGAGGCACAAATGAAAAGCCTTCCACTGGATTCTAAGTATACTCTCTTCACTCAGAATAAGTAAAACACACCAAGACATCAAAGCTTCATAAGTGTGGCATCTTTTATCAGCATGGGCCCTTAGAGAGTTCTTTCAAAATCTGTAGAGAAAAATAAATTCTCCCAGACACAGACATTGTCTTCCAGAGTTCACTTTAAGAGCCATGTGAACACAAGATCCAATCAACCAACCTCTCTTGAGACACACACATGCTTCACAAAATCTACACCATTGCAGCAACAAACCATAGACAAGTACTTCACTCCCCCTGCTGAATACACTCATACCATGTAGACTCAATCTTGGATACTCTAGCTCCTTGAGCATACACACAAAATATCATAACTTTTTGTATAGGTAAGAAGTCATGCACACTTGTTTTGAAGTTCCTCACATACTCCCAAACAACTGTATTCAAATAGCTCACTCCATAATATCCAGATTTACACAAACTCTTCTTGTAGTAGAAGACGCCACCTCCCTAACAAGCATTATGATCAAATTACACTATCTGACACCCTTTTCCTTCTTCATCAGCATCAACACAAGCATATTCAATATCTGATGCAACAGGATTAGCAACATCCTTACCCTAGTCAACAGGGTCTTCACCTGGGATAATGTCACAACAATGTTTGGAACATGTTTCCCTCCAAGAAAAATAGTAATGCAAAGACAAGGAGATTCCCTTTTCATAATAATAGTCAATAAAATATCATGATGTAGATGGTATGATGAAGAATTTATTGACAATAATAACAATATCAGTGATTTCTATAAGTCCTCACAGATATACATCCAAGGACTCTTCCAATGATAGCCACCAACAAACATGATGTTACAACATCATGTAGGACATCAACTTCTTATCACAGAATCTGATCACTTTGGCTATCATCCAACAATAGAACTCCCTCTCGAGCTCTATAACTTCTACAAAGAAAAATAAATTCTCTCAAAAAATAACCAGCATAATTTCTCAGGACATTCCCAAGACACAAGGGCAACTCTAAAACATTGTAGAACAAAGATCAAAGGCAGAATCACAAAGCTCCAAAACCCAATGCTTCCCACTGAATTCCAAGCCTACTACCTTCAATCAGGTTCAGAAAACAAACTGAACATAATGTCAAGACCTTTTTGCTTGACACCACAAAATCACTAGAGGCATACTAGCACAAGTTGTATGAGACCATGCAACCTTTGTCCAGACTTCAATTCTACAGCAACACATCAGACAAATACCCAGCTCTCGTCAAGGTATTTGAAATCAGTCACATGCCCTACTTCATCAGATCAGACTTATACCCAGTTCTCGACAAGGTATTTGTCATCATAGAAAAATTTCCTCATATATAAACATCAGATAATGTTGTCCTTTTTACAAATGGAAGAACATTTGATATGACATTCTTCTTCTGCACACATCTGGCACCATAGGATTCTTCTTCATGACAAACAATCATTACAGAGGCTTAACCTTACACTCCACCATGAGCTCCAAAAAAACTTCCTTGGCTGAAGAACCAAAGAACTCGAATGATGTTCCAACATCAGTTCAGACATCAGTCTGAATCACATGACTTTAAACACTTACTATGGCTTTGGAGACAACACCCATAGTAGTCCAAACACACAACTCTTGCAAGGAATACAAGAGGATCAACCATCAGTAGCTGATCAAAATTTAAAACCACATCAAAATACATGCAAAAACCTACATGTTACATAACTCCACAAAAAACTTTCTCATACGCACTATGTCCAGACCTCTTGTCTGACAATAAGGAGTTGAACACCATCCTTCTGCACCTAAAGAGGAGATTCCCTCTAACAAGTATATGGAGCATACTTCAACAAATATATGGAATTGAATGGTCATTATAAGCCACAAATAGACTGCAGATTAAGCAGGCTTCTCCCAAATCTTCAAGATACAAGGATGTCTTTTAATCCTTGCAGACACGAATGTTTTATTATGTGAGGATGCCACATAATTGAGCCATAAGCGTGAGGAGAACCTTCCCATCCAGATAATAGGAAATAATAATCAAACTTCATTTCTTAAGAACCATGATCCTTTGGTCCCTAATAGGATTACCAACTCCTCCTTGCTCCTGACAAAAACTGAAATGCTCATCTTAGGTGGATTAGATGACACTTCAAAGTGCATACACCAATCAACCATTGAATTCAAGTCGATACATCTCTAATGCACACAACCCTTTGAAAGAACGTTCACTTCAA